AGGAAAACTTGGTGAAATGGTGACACCTGGCTTCAGGGAGCCTGGAGGTATATTAAGTGTGACAAAGGTCCCAGCTCAAACCAGGTAGAGCCTGGTTGTCCACCCAGTCCACAGAGAGATCCAGCCTGTGTCCCTTCCTATCCTGCCCTCATTGTCCCTTCCATACCTAGCATTCTCTGTCCCAGATAGGACACATCAGTTGTGGACAGTTCCCGGCTGCCCACCCACAAGGATTCTCTTGCCCCATGGATGCTGAGTAACAACGTGAATGGTCAGTCCTGTGTGCAGCCCACAGCCCACCGACCTCTTAGTACCTGCCCACAGCCCCTCAGAGTTCCTATAGGCCCCTCAGAGCTCTGAACATATGCTCACAGGTCCTTAGTGCTCCCAACATCTGCCCACAGGCCCTCAGCTTTCCCAGCACCCGCCCACAGTCCCTCCGCACTCCCAGCATCTGTTAACAGCTCATGGAGCTCCTACCATCCATATGTATCAGGCTTCAGGGGTGTGACTAGAGTCTCTGAGGAACATCTGGCCTTTCACGTGCTGGGAGAAAGATGCCAGGACAAACATGTTCTCTGTCCCCGGGACCTGGACAAAAACGGGTTAACCTGGACTGAAGGTGACCTTCAGTGATAGCTCACCTGGGAAGATGGAGGGAATACCTGTGGTTCCTTACAATGATTCTCAACCTGTGTGCAGCAACCCCCAAAAGACCATTGGAAAACACAGATACTATGATTCATAACAGTAGCGAAATTACAGTTATGAAGTAGCAATGAAAATAGTTTTATGGTTGGGGGTCAGCACGACATGAGGAACTGTATTAAAGGGTCACAGAGCCAGGAAGGTTGAGAACCGCTGTGTTAGGAGCTCTCCTTACTCTCCAGTGGCCTGGTTGGCCAGGCATTGCACGGAGCTGCTTCTCTATCTCTGTGGCTGCAGGAGAGGCCTTAAAGGGAGTCCAGGGCGCACCTGAACAAGAAAGGCCAGGAGCATCCTGACAGAGGCCTGCAGCAGACCCTGAGTGAGTGCAGACCAGGCAATAAGAAATGAGCCTGATCCTGGGAACCCACTCATTCCAAGTTACAAGATGTGGGTTTCCAGGCCACAGGGAACCATTAAAAGTTACTTTTATTTTTTAACATACAGTTTTCATTGGCTCATATTCATTGTACACAGTGACGGGTTTCATAAAGATATTTTCATGCAAGTATATCACATATAGTAACCACGTTCTCTCCCTTCCCTTGTGTATTTTTATCTGTGTGCACGTGTGTGTGAGAGACTTCTTAAATGTGCTGTATATACACTACTGAAGGTCTTGAACAACATAAAGTGACTGAGGTCTTTCAGGAAGATACATTGGACAGCTCTGTCCCCAACCCCCAGGAAGATTTTCAAAAGGCAATCGTCACCTTGTCACCAAGATCCCAGGTGAGAGATAATGGGCTGTAGCCCATAAGGGACAGACTCTAAATCCAGCATAAGAGAGATATTTGTGCCCTCCATGTGGGGAACAGACCATAGAGGCAGCTGGCAGCCTAGTCACCTCCTGCAGGGAGGAGCCTTAGCCTGTCCCATAGCCAACCTTCATGTTCTCGCCTTCGTCTCCAGGTTTTCTGTAACTTACGAGTGTCCCAGCCCTGCAGAGAGGAAGCAGGTTTGCTCTTTGCCTGCTTGGCTGAACTATAAAGCTATCTATTTTTCTTCCCTAGAAAATAATACAAGAAACTAAGGAGGTGAGTTGTGGATCTGAGTCCCAGGAGCTATTACCATTTTTCTTGTTTGGAAGGAACCCCACATCCGGATCTGGAAAACACACATGAAGGAGAGGATGGTGTCGGGCTGTGGCAAAACAGTCTGGACAGTGGCAGCGGCTGACAGCGCACAGTGTTGGAAGGACATAACAAAACACCTTCCTGCCCATGATGGGTCTATTTCCTTATGACCAGATCTGAGCCACCGCTCCCTTTCCAGTCTTTCTCCAAAGTCCTGTCTCCTTTCAAGCTCCCTGACATTTGGCCAATAAAGACGTTTCTGCCGAAATGACTCCTGTGGGACTAGTGACCTGCCACCAGGTCAAGATAAGTTCAGGTCTTGGTGCCAGAGGTCATGAGGTATAGGTAGGCTGAGTGGGTTAGTGGGCCTGGCAGCAGGGGCAGGACATGGAGCCCTGGCATTCAAAGGAGTCACGCCACCTGGCATGATGAAGTTCTGATCCCGGCTGGGGTGATGCTGGGGTGCTCCAGAAGAGCGTCCATCCCGTCTCCAAATTGGGGCTGTGCTGATAGGGAAGGACATGTAAGGTGTGGGTGACTCAGGCCATAGGTGACTGCCACTGTAGATTAAGGGTCAGAGACAGAAGCCAGACTCAGAACTCTGAGTGCCAAGTACTGATGGAGCCCAGGTGCCAGGGAAGACCTCAGCAGAGAAAGAGAAAACTGTTGAGCTGGGAGACGACAGGGGGCAAAACAAGAGTAGACCCTTCCCTTAACCCGGGTAACCAAGGTTTTCACCAATGCCCAGGAAGTGGGATGGGAGGGAACTGGGCACAGAGGCTACTGCAACAGGTGACTGTGGTGGCCGATGGCAACCCAGGCAGCTGTGGCTATGGGACATGGTTCACAAAAACCAAAGTGGCCAAATAGCCTGAAGTGGCCTGTGTGTCACCTGATGCTTTATGCCAACCAACCTAAGTGGTGTTCACAATGTGCTCTCCACCCCCAGGCAGGGGCCGCGTGAGCGCAGCCAGCCCCATCACCCTGAGGCAGCCCCCCAAGTGCTACTGTCTGCCCACTGCAAAGTCTATGGCTCCCTTCATGCCTCCCAGTCTGACCTGACCGGAGCGGCACGAAGGACAGGGGACATAAACATCACCCGACAGGCAGACTTGAGCCAGGCATCCTGACAGTCACTTTCCATAAACCAGAATAACTTGGGGCCATGGACTAAGGATGGTCACAGGTGGCTGATGGCTGCGTTGGAGAAGGCACGAGGCATGTGGTAGAGAACAGAGGCCAGATGAAAAACATGGTAGCCAGACCTGCTGCAGCAATCTCAGGGTATGGGATACACTGGGTGAGGGCTTCAGAAGAGTAGGGTGGCTGCTCTGAATTAGCTGGTGGTGGGGAGGGTGCCCTGTGGAGACTGCCAGTCTGCCTGGAGCTACGCAAGGACCACACATTTCCCCTCACCAAGTCTACCCCAGAGCACTCTCCCAGGTGACCAGCTCACTAGGCGGTTTAGCAGCCATGTGTCCTCTCCAGGAAAGACGGTCATGCTTGGCCTGCATCCAAAGAGCTCACCATCCGTGTCCATCACTTCTGACCCAGGGGTTGTGTGAGAGAGGAGGGAGGCAGTAAGCTGTGTCTACAGCATGCCCCGGCCTTGTTCTGAATCCACACGACCCCTGAGAGGACAGGAGAGTGTGGGATCTTCAGAGAGCTATGGCTCTGTCTCCACTCTCACAGAGTGCAAAATCGCCACCCAGGCTCAGCCCAGGGGAAGTGAGGGGCCAGCTTGCCTCCACTCCTGCTGCCCCCTCCATCTCTGATCTGTCTTTCCCCCGCCATAGATGGTGTCTAGGCCTTCAGGCTCCTCAGAGGCTCGACCCATGCCAAATGAAATTGTCAAATGCCCTTTGAAGGCACAGGGTAATCACTTTCAGGGGTTTATAGTCCCAGAGGAGTCACAGCCACGCCCCCGGCCAGGAAGGCCGTATCTCAGTGCAAGGACATGGCCCAGGGTATTTACAGACGGTAATGAGGCTGTCCACTGTGGAAGCCCCATAAATAAGCAGGAAAACTGCTGAGTTTCATGTACTTGCCCCTGATTGCCTCGAAGGCGTCATTATTTTAATAAAAAAACTAATCAGCCAGCCTTCCCAGCATGCTCGTGGTAGTGTTAATTACAGGGAGTCAGCATATGGGGGACTGTGCCTGACCCTTACAGCCTGTTAGTCCACAAGGGGTCAGGGTGGGTGGACAGGACAGGTACCAGCTGGGCCATCACGGCTGGTGGCACAGGGTGAGCCCCAACCATCTCCCTGGGCAGCATTCCTGGCACTGTCCTGTCTACCAGCTGCGAATTCTCCATGGAAAAATAGACCAAAGACCAAGGCCTAAGCAAGCAAGGCCCCAAATTCTGCCTCAAGAATAATGGAACCCGGGGACAACAGATTCCAAATTCCAAGGGTCCAAGATGCCATGGTGTATCATTCCACAAGGACATCTTTCAGGCTGTGCTTTTTTTTAGGGGTGGGGGAACTACTCCCTGGTACCCCTCTCAGGCTGAGAAGGGTATGTTTCTGAGGCTTGGGGATGTTTGATGCTGTGACATAGTCTACTCTTCGCTGACTGATACAACTGAAATCTGCTGTGGATATCGCTCCATATGCTGTGAATGTGTTGCTCTGATTTGGTTGATAAATAAAACGCTGATTGGCCAGTAGCCAGGCAGGAAGTATAGTATAGGCAGGATAAGCAGAGAGGAGAATTCTGGGAACAGGAAGGCAGAGTCAGGAGTCGCCAGTCAGACACAGAGGAAGCAAGATATAAAGATACCAATAAGCCACGAGCCATGTGGCTGGGTATAGATTTATAGAAATAGGTTAATTTAAGATGTAAGGTCTAGCTAGCAAGAATCCTGAGCCATTAGGCCATACAGTTTTAATTAATATAAACCTCTGTGTGTTTATTTGGGTCTGAGTGGCTGCAGAGCCGGGTGGACACAGGAAAGCTTCAGCTACAGAAAGCAACATGTTGGAGGCAAAAGATTTAATCATCTCTGTATCTTAAAAAGTGAGATAGCCGGGCGGTGGTGGCGCACGCCTTTAATCCCAGCACTCGGGAGGCAGAGCCAGGCGGATCTCTGTGAGTTCGAGGCCAGCCTGGGCTACCAAGTGAGTTCCAGGAAAAGGCGCAAAGCTACACAGAGAAACCCTGTCTTGAAAAACCAAAAAAAAAAAAAAAAGTGAGATAAAGTAGGTTTTATTTTACAATAGGTGGAAGTTTGGGTTTTGTGTAAGATTTATATTTATTCTGTGTGTGTAGGTGTTTTGCCTACATGTACATTTGTATACCATGCAATGACAACAGAAGCCAGAAGAGGGCTTTGGACCCTTGGAACTGAAGTGAACAGATAGTTGCACACTGTCATGTGGGCGCTGGGAATCAAAGCAGGGGCCTCTGAAGAGTGGCCAGTGCTCTTAATCTCTAGGCCATCTCTCCAGTTCCAAGAGCTAGGTTATAACCGCACCTCTAGGTTGATTTATCAGCATTTATGGGGGATGCATGCTGTAATTTTATCAGTTTGTTTTCCCAATGAAACGCTCTTTCAGCTCACTCTCCTCTCAGGCTTAGGGGGCCCCTCTGGACTTCAGTGTCAGAGTCTTCTCCAAAGTATCTTTCTTCCCTTGTACTTACTAGGTTGTCTTTTGATTTTCCCCTGGAATGATCCATCAGATGTGATCTGTCAGCCGCTGTCCCCGGTGTCTGAGCAGCCTGGTCACTCTGATCAAGCTCTGTGTTTCTCTGACCCCAGCATCTCAGCAGGAGTCTGCAAGGCCCAGCAACTATTGAAAGAGTGACCCAAAAGAGTGAGGAAGTGAAGGATGAGTGTGAAGGTGAAGTCAGAACCGCCAATGCAACAGGCTCTGAGGGCAAGGCCTCTTTGGTCACCGCCTTATCAGGAGGCCAGGTGCCCGTCTGGGTCCCCACTTCTCCCCCTTTCCCTCTCTGAGCTGTGCTTTCAGCCTCTTTCTCCGCTCCCTCTAACCTCTAGGACATATAGCCTTCAAGAGGAACCTAAGCCCTCCTCCCAGGGAGCAGGGAATAAGGGGTGACTTCTGTGGTGGTAGAAAAGGAGGGTCAGATGGAGGCAGGGGCTTTGCTCCATGCTGCTCCATGCTGTGGAAGGTTCTAGTCAGGGCTGAGCTGTAAGTCAGCCCCCAGCTTGCCGCCCTCAGCGAGTCTCCTGCCTTTCCTGCGGACCTTGAGTCTAGCTGATGCCTGCCCAGCTCTGGAGAAGGTCCATCCCACAGGAGAAAAGTTTTGCAGGTAAGTCTCAGAAACGAGGGGCCACCATATGTCCCCATCCATTTCTGGTCATATGCAGTTCTCTTTAGGGACTCTGCCCAAACAGGGTTCCAGGGAGGACACTTGGTGACATTAGTCAATAAGACCATGGCCCAGACTACAGCCAGGACTCCTCAGCCCAGCTGACCATCTACTACAGCTAGCTCTGGAATGTTCTCCTAAGGCCTTAGTGACAAAGGTTTGGCCAGCCACATGTGTGGTGATAAGGAGGTGGTGTGACATTTCAAAAGTGGGGCCACGCAGGAGGGAGTCAGGTCGTCTTACTGAGATCCCCATCCCTTCTTGTCCCCTCCTCCCTGAGGTAGAGAGTTTCCCATCACAGTGCCTTGTGCCACCACAGGCCCAAGAGCAGGACTGAGGTCTCTGAAACAGAGACAAATGAACCATTCTTCCCGATGACACCTTGGATATCTTGTCACATTGACAGATCCGACTAAGACATCATCCAAGGCCAGATCTGAGAACCCTCCCTTCCTCAAGGCCAACTTGTCCCCCATCTCACTGATTCTGAGCCTCTCTGCCCAAGATCTACAGACAGGCCAGGGCTCTACAGCTGGCAGCTGACCCTCAGAGCCATGGATTCAGGTGCTGGAGTGAGACAATCCTATCCACACTACCACACCCCCCTGGGGACTTCCAGAGAATTGCTGGGCCTCCAAGACTTCCTTGTCTGTGATAATGTCACTGTGAGCAGGAGGGGCCACAGGCAGCTAGGACCTTGGCATGCACAGGTAACCCAGGAAGGTCCTGACTTGCAGTAAGACACACTGATGCTGCCTGAGGCCACAGCTGCCACACACACACACACACACACACACACACACACACACACACACACACACACACCGCATCTTCTTGTTCTCAGAGTAATATGGTGTCACAGGATGCCTGTCATGAGGACCCGTCCAGGAGGTCAGAACCCAGGGGATTTCTGAGCCAGAGATGGGCCAGTCTTGGCAGAAGGAGCTTACCCTGGTCCCCTCCCCTGCAATTAGAAACCCTACTGACACAGGCAGCCATTGGGGCCTTGTGGGTCGGCTGATGGAGAAGGCTGCAGGAAATCTACTTTGTAATAAAACTGTTCATAAAAGGCAAATGTCGATTAAAGGCTCCGCTTCTGCGGGAAATCACTTTTTATGTCCCTATGTGAGTCTTGGAGAAGCAGGCACAAGGCCTCAGGGGATTTGCAGGGGGCCATACCCCACAGCTGAAAGCCTTCAAGAAGTTGTAGTTTCGAGGGAGACCAAATGCCCCCACACTCCAAAAGGCTACCCACCCCCACACACACACAGCCTCTCTCTAGGAACCCAGGCAAGGCCCTGAGGCCAAGGAAGTGAGAGAAAGCCACAGACAGAAAGCAAGGGAGACCTCTGGCATTCCACCCACCCCCACCCCCATGCAGCATCAGAAACAGTGGGAGCCCCCTCTACAGGAGCCTTGAGAAAGCAAGTGGCCTCACTGTATACATGGAGGGGGTAACAATCTGGGCAGAAAAGCCTGTCTGCACTCAGCACCTGTTCTTGAGGACTCATTTCAGAAGTTTGCACTCGGAGGGAGTCCTGAGGGATTGACCCTAGATGTGGGGAGGCCACTAGGCTGGCAGTCTTGGGGGGCACAAAAGTTAAGATGACCCTTTCACTCAGACCTGACAGCAAGCTCCTCCTTCCACTGTAAAGAGCATTCCGGGGGCTTCCAGGGCAGAGCTGAACTGTCACCTGCTGGCCAGGACAACCTTCCACAATGCAAGGTCCAGCTAAAGGCAAAGAAGAGCGCAGTGGACTTCATCACTCCTGGGCCATCGTCAGCCGGGCCAGTAGTAGTCACAAAGGGTCTCCCAGGTAGAGCAGGCAGTGGTGAGGCTGGAGAGCCAGTGAGGTTCCCATGTGTGGCCGGGACACTGTTACAAATGCAGGTCTCAGGAAAAAGCCAGTTGTGAAAGCCATCTATAAGTTACGTAAATGAAAAAAAGAAATAAGAAAGGAAAGGAACATGACTAGCCCCAGGTTTCTGCACCAGAAGAACGAAAAAACAAAACAGAGAGGAAGGGACCTGACTGGTCCTAGGTACAGTGGAGAAGAAACTTTTATTGTAGATAAAAGAGAGAGCATGGCCAGAGGCAGGAACATCTGGGAGAGTCCAGAGAGGACATGACCAGACTGAGCTGAACCATGTAAAGAGCGCAGGCGGGGGGGGGGGGGGGGGGGGGAGTCATGTGCAGCAGCCAGGAGGCCCAAAAGAGGACAGGGTAACCAAAATGGTTGGGTTATATAGGGAAGGGCATCTGGGGGAAGGGCAGCCCAGCTCCTGGGCTGCAGAATCTCAGGGTAGGGAGCACAGCATGCCAGCCAGGAAGGCCCTGTAACAGGTGGAAACTGAGGGATGAGTCCGCTTTGATATGTTAAATAGACACCACAGCCATTTGTCCCAGGTTTGAAACCTAACAGTGTCTGTCACCTAAAGAGAAAGGTTTTAAAGCCTAACAAAGTGACCAGGGTTCTGCAGAGGCAGATGCCCACAGCATGGTATACTTGCCTGGTGCATCAGGCTTTGGACCCAAACTGAGACCTTGCATGTAGCCCCTGCTCTGAACTTCCTGGGGGCAGTCGAAGATCCCCAGAGACCTCAGATGCTCAAGTGTCCTCAGGTAGGTGTCTACACACACACACACCTACCCTCTGTGAGCACTCCTGCGCCGCCTCCACGCGTTAGCACATCGGCCTGATGCCCGCACTACGTCCTAGGTTTTCCCACTGCGCCGGTGGGAGATAACATCAGTGAGAACAGTTTGCAGGTGTCCCTACAGATTTTTTCAGGCTTTCCATCCTCGTTGAACCTCGTTGAACCCACCGACACAGAACTGGCGGGACACCCGAGCCAATGAAATTACAACACAAATTAGATACCCCAAAAAAGCTTTGACCTCTGGTCAAAAGCAAAACAAAACAAACGAACCTCAGTCGGTGTGGACTGGAAGTGTGGCTTCCAGTGGAGAGTACCAGAGCAGCGTGACTTCGCTCCGGGGGCGTGACTGAGAATGGGGCCACACAGCTGCAGTCTTCCCTGACCAGGAACTTGGCTATGACTTGAGTTCTGTGTGCATCGCGGTGTAACCATGTGAAGACGTTGCATTCGATTTTGCTTTTGAAGACAGGCGTGTTCAGTGGGGGTCAGCAGCCTCCACCTCCTCTTCCTGGAGGCCACTGTTCCTGATCTCCTGAGTCAGAGGTAAGAGTGCAGAGCAGGGCATTCAGGACCTCTGTTCCCAGCAGCCCCTCTGTCCCTGCAGCCAAGGTCTGGACTCCCAGGGACTGCTTCCCCATGCTGCTGGTGGTCTTAGGTGGCCCGGTCATCCCAGCCACCATGGCACCCCCTGCCCCTACACAGCAAACCACACAGGACTTAAACTAAAAGAAGCCCAGGTCTTATCTGACTAGGCTGTGAACCTCTAAGACATGTGCACCTATCCCTGCCTACCATGAACCCTCTTACAGAACAGACTGCCCACTGTGAGTCACATGACACAATAGCTTTCTGCCAGGCCCCAGCCTAAGTTGGCTAGGGGGACCCCTTTGCATCAGACTGAGCCTACAAGAACCTTGAGCCCCTGGGTTCCACACCTATCTGACCCCTGGAGAATCACGCTGGGCAGGGGGACAGGCACTGTGAGGCCCAAGAACCAGAGTTGTGCCTAATCAAGACGGTCCTGGAGCCACTCCAGGTCACCTGGGTCCAGCCTAGGGCTCTGAACAAGCCGCACTCCGTTCACTTCTCCCTCCCTCTCCTCACTGTAATTTACAAGGCAGCTGGAGCACAGGATATTTTTAATAAAAATTAGGTACAAGCAGATACAGGGGATTAATAGTTGTATTATGATTTTATAGTTCTCCATATACAGCCTCATGGAAAAGACAATCAGAGTAGAGCCATTCCAGGCAGATAAAATGGGGCATTTATTTTTAATGGAAAGAGAATTTCAGGGCTCACCCAGCCGTGGAGAAAGTGCCGTGGAGGGCTCTGAGGGCGGAACAAAGGGAGGCTAGAGGCTTGGCCGCCCTGGTGAGGAGGCTCTGAGGGAGAAACCCCCTTACTGGAACAGGGAGGGTTTGCCTAGTGGGTAGCAGAGGGCCAAGTGGCAGCCCATGATGACCCAAGCCCCCACTCCACTTCCTGGAAGCCCTGGGCAAATCTCTCCCAACCTCAGTTTCCCCTCCTGTGCACAGCTGTAAAGAGGGAGACTCCCAGGATCTGATAACCTCCATCTTTCCCCCAGGGAACTGCATCCTGACCTGGGCTCACAGCTCTGCCTTAAACCCAGTCCTTCTGTGTTCCAGCAGCAAGTGGCCAATTCCGTTCTTAGAAAGCCAGAGTGTTGTGTTGTCCATGGTCTGCCTGGCTGGGCTGCTTCAGACATGCTTAGCTAGAGAGGCCTCTCCCTGAGGTCCCTGCACCCCTCATGATTATCAGCACAGGCAAAGTCTGATCAGGACCTGTGAGGCTGGCTTTGAATCCCAGGGCTTGAAAAGGGCATGCTTGGTGATGGGAAAGGTCTATGGTAGTGGGGAAGGACCCATCTGGGGCATAGTTTCAAAGCTACAGACTGCCATAGTTGGTGCCTCTGCCTGGCTTGACTAGAGGATGAGCCTTCAAAGACTTACCAGCCTTCATTCCTCATCTACTCTCCCAGCCCCTACAGGAAATTCTGAGCTCTGAGCAGGATGAGGAGGTCATCTCAGGAGCAGTGGGTGCCGCACACAGGCTGGGGCTCCACTTACCGGCCCTTGCCACTGTTCCCAATGCACCTGTCCAGTCTCTGCAGGTGCCTCACCTCAGAGTCTGGAGGAAGTGGTCATTGGCCTGGTCTTGGCCCTCTGACTCTTGACCCTAAGGGCTCTTGGCAATCAGCAAGTGGTCAGGCCTTTCAAGGAGAGAAAGAAGCTTAAAGACCTTCCCTCAAGGACTCCCAACCCAGCGAATAAGAAAGCCTACGTTAAGTCATGGCCACAGGCCACAGGGAGCATAATAGGACAATGGAGGAGGAGGAGACACGAAGTGAGTATGGCCACAGGAGCCTGGGGTCTGTGGGAGTCCAGGGTCTGCAGAAGCCTGGGGTCTGTGGGAGTCCAGGGCCTGTGGGAGTCCAGGGCCTGTGGGAGTCCAGGGCCTGTGGGAGTCCAGGGCCTGTGGGAGTCCAGGGTCTATGGAAGTCCAGACACAGCCTCCTTGCCCTGCCCAGCATCAGGGAACAGACCACAATAGGACATGACCACTTTTACTCACCTTGGCTGGTCACTCACCCTACAGAGGGATCCCTGGCCTTTTAGCTCCCCCAGAATCTCACCCCCACCCCACCTCAGAACTAGCCATAAGTTCCCTGGGAGATCCATTCCCCCACTCCTTCCATTAGCAGAAGAATTTGGGAGCTTGCCCTCCTCCTCTCGACTCCTGGTATCTTACCTGGAAGAGGCCAGGTGGCAGGTGGTCCTGATATTCCAAGAACTCTGTCAGGGCCATGGTACAGAGGCCAAGGATGCCCATATCTCCATTAGGGACAAACATACACAGAGATGACTTTGGGCTGGTGTACTAGGCTTTCTTTTGGGGGCCACCAACCAGCTCCCAAATCATGACATGGAGACTTAGTTTTGAGTGCTCGGCCTAGCTTAGGTTTGTTTGTTGCTAGCCCTTATAACTTACCCTGTTTCTCTTTATCTAACGTTTTGCCTCAGAGCCTTTTACCTTCTTTCTTTCTGTATGTCTTACTTTCCTGCTGTCTTTGTCTGTCTGTCTGGCAGGTGCCTGACTTCTGACCCCGGTCATGTCCCTCTTTCTCTTCATACTCTTCTTCTTTTCTCTTCTCCTTCTTCTCCCAAGCCTAGATTTCTCCTCCTATTCTCTCTCCCCTGCAGCCCCGCCCATCTTTTCTCTGCCTAGCTATTGGCCTTTCAGGTCTTTATTAGACCAATCAGGTGCCTTAGGCAGGCAAGGTGAAACAAATGTAACACATCTTTACACAGTTAAAGAAATATTCCACAGCATAAACAAACGCGATACATCTTTACCTAGGTAAAATAATATTCCATGATATCAGAATTTTCCAGGGACTTGCCCCAGGGTCCTGGGGAAGACGCTACAGCCAGTGTGCGGGTATTCTGAGGGAAAAGAATCTAAGTACACCGGGCCCTTTTGTCCATCCTTTATTTCTCTAAGACAAAATTTTATCTTCACAGTTCTGTTCTGACACTCAGTTCCTCCCTGTCCCTGTTTACTGTCCTCTCATAGCCCAAACTAAGCTCTTCTGCTATCCATCTCATCTTCATCCTCCATTCCTCTGTCCCCATCTTTCCTTCTTCTCCTACTCTCTTGCCCTGATTCAAATCCACCTACCACCTACAAAAACTTTTCCTTGCTCCTTACTCCTCGGCCAACCCTAACCCAGAGTCAGGAACTCTGCCCCAGTCTTCACTGGCACCTGGTTATGAAAAAAAAAAAAAAAACAAAAACCTTTTGTTCTCAGTCAGTTGCTCTGGAGAGCCACCAGGCCTGAAGGAAGGGGATGGTCTGAGCTTCATCTGCACAAGAAACAAAGCTATGCATCTACACATCCACCTATCTCCTAGGCCTAGGAGACAGGCATTACCTAGTTCAGGTGAGCAGTGGGTCTGAGAAGCTTATGCTGTTTGCTGTATGGCCTAGGAGTATGAGCACACAAGAAATTAATAGCAGGAAACAGCTGATATATTAAAAGCTGAATAACATTAAATATTCCTTGATATATGACTTCTCCTTTAGGAGGATTCCTTGATCTTTCTAGGGACAGCTGTATCATATACAGCTGAATCTCTGTTTCATATTCTTGTGGCCTGCGGCACCACAACAAGCAAGCATTCAAAGATCTGGGGTCCCAGGCCTGTGTAGAGTGGACCATAAAATCTGTTCCCATAGCTAGACTTGGTGGTGAGAGTTACCCAACTCTCTGTGCTTCACATCCAGAAGTCTCCTAAGTAGCTACCACAACTGCAAAGGACAAACCCTGGCTCTCTACAGCTGTGCCTGGGAATGAACAAGGGCCCCTCTCACTTGGACTGTCATGAGGCTCGGCAAGAGAGACAGACTCAAACTCAACACAGGACGTGGACCCGGGCTCAGCATGGGAGGAAAACCAGGGTTAGCATAGGCGCTGAGCAGGGCAGATGAGTCCACTCTTAGCTGGGAAAGTGGACCCAGGCTTCCAACAGTTGAGCCCAGACTCATTACCTGTAGGGGATTATGTTGATTGTGTTGGTTAATGTGGGAACACTCATCTCAGTTTGGGTAGGGTCATTCCCTGACTGGCGTCCTGGACTGCAGAGAGTCAGGAAGGGGAGCTAAGTAAGCATTCATTGTCCCCCCTCCTGACCACGTCTCCATGGACGTGTTACCACCATGGCTTCATGCTCCTGCGGCCTTGACTTCCACCATGATGGACTGACCTTCAGCTATGAGCTCGAATACGCCCTTTCTCCCTTACCTTGCTTTTGTCAGAGTGCTTTATCCCAACAAGGAAAGAAACAAAGACGTACCTCCCACCATCCTGCAGCTGATGAAGCAGCAGCATGGCCTTTGGAGACACAGGCTCATGACGATGGAACTTCCAGGATGTGATGCAGGTTCCTCTTCACTGGCCACAGCCGGTGTTCACAGTCCTGCCCTAAAGCTAGGAATGGGGAGGTTTCTCCTAGTTACCCGCAGTGACTCCCTGTAATGGCTGGTTTTGTGTGTCAACTTGACACAAGCTAGAGTGGGCAGAGGAAGGAGTCTCAGCTGAGGAATGTCTCCTCGAGCTCCAGCTGTAAGGCATTTTCTCAATTAGTAACCAGTGGGGGAGGGCCCAGCCCAGGGTGAGTGGTGCCATCCCTGGGCTGCTGGTCCTGGATTCTATAAGAAGGTGGACTTGAGCAAGCCACGGGGAGCAAGCCAGTAAGCAGCTCCCTTTCATGGCCTCTGCACCAGCTCCTGCCTCCGGGATCCTGCCCTGTTTGAGTTCTTGTCCTGACTTCCTTCAGGGATGAACAGCAATGCTGAAGTGTAAGCCAAATAAACCCTTTCCTCCCCAGCTTGCATTTGGTCATGGTGTTTCATCACAGCAATAGAAACCCTAAGTAAGACAGTCCCTAAGTCAATATTCACTTTGTAGATACTCTCTGCTTGGTCCTTAACTCATAGATGGGCCAACCAGCCTCAGCCTGGTACTTACAGGGCACAGAGGTGGGCGGGCACACCCTTTCATGCCCAAGAGGCACTCAGTCAGCACAGCAAGAAGTATATGACAAGGTAGGAAAGGGAGAGGCTAGACCACACCCCTCCAGCATCTGCATATACAAGAACCCACTGGGAAGTGGGAGCCTCTGGGCCCTGCAAATGGAAACCAGAGTGGCAGCCGAAAGGGGGTGCACAGGGCAGACCCTAGCAGGGTTCTCCATAAACACAGGCATCAATCATTTGGTCAGTCAACAGCAAACCTGAGAGCTAGCCCAGCGGAGGCTGCCCTGCCGCCAGCAGCCCCTACAGAACCAGGAGGCTCACACTTTCTAAATCACACAAATTAATTTAGAAATCAGAGCAGCTCCCGCAGCTAGACTGCAGATTTCAAAACAGCTTAACAAATTACCAAATCCCCTTTAAGAAGACAAATTATTCCAGCTCCTCTGCCGCCTGGTTAATTATGCATGCGCTTTTGTTAGGAGATGTTAAATATTCACTAGCTGTGGGTTTGCACTTGTGACCCACTGCTCATTTTTGTGCAGGGCAGCAGTTGTGGCCCTCAGGGTCCAGGCACATGGGGGTGCTGATCTTGAGACCACTGTACAAGGGCTGCCATACTGCCTAGCTGGTGCTACCTCCCAGGCCGTGAACCCACACAGCCCAGCTCATCCCATCCAGGGCTGCTGCAGTGTGTGGAGCAACCCTGGGAGCCTGCCTGAGCTCTCAGATGCTAGTTAACCTGGGGCAGCTAGCCCAATGCCTCCCCACCCCCACCCCAGTCTTCTACCCTCACCCCAGATGTCCACGTCCAATGGCTGGGTCTCAGTCTTTCTCCCTGCTCTCTGCCCTGATACGAAACCAAGAAGACCCCAAGATCTTCCAGGCCCAAGTTACAGGTCTCTCCTCTAGAAATTTGGGTGCTCTGTCCAGGTTGTGTCCTCATCATTGACATTCAAAGGAAGCAAGAGCACTCTAGGCTGTTGAATGCCTTATTTATTAAAGCTGTCCCCAAGCTACCCTGGAGTCTGTGGCCCTAGCTCTAAGGACAGCCAGAACCCTTGTGCCAGCCATACTCCAGGACCCTACTTGTCCCCTGGTGTCATGAGGACCCACCCCAGGGTCACACTTGTCCCACTCTGTCCTGTGGGAGCTGAATCCCCTTTTATACCCGTGGTCTAGACTCACAATCTGGAGACCAGGCCTGCCTGAAGCAGGGGTTCCAAGCTGACCCTGGGTCCCACTCCTACCCTCCCCCCCAACAGCCCCTTTCTTTTCTAGGCCACCAACATTCATTGACTTGTCCTTGACACTTAAAGAAGAGAGAGCTGGGCAGGAGGCATCCCTAGGGCGCTAGGCAATTGAGCCATCTTGCTCTACCCACCCAGTTTCCTGGCCAGAGAGCTTCCCCCCACCTCCACCACCAACACCCAGCAACAGAGTTCCCAACTTGGCGCAGCTAGAGATCAACTTCCAGGTACCTTCCTCAGGCATTCCCAAGTAACATCCACAATGGGACCAAAATGGTGATGGGAGTGGCTGGCCACTCACCGAACACCCCTCAATGCCACCACGGCCATGGGAGACATGGGACACAGAGACACCCAAGTAACAGCCAACCTCATACATATAGGCAGCTTGCATTCTCCCTTGCAGAGGGGCCAGTTTTGCCCTCCTGCACACAAATACATATATACACACATGCATATATGCATACACATGCAGACATATACTCACGCACACATATGCACGCACATATGACCACACAAGCATATTCACACATGCACACATACCCGTGTTTGTGTGAGCACACACACACATACACACACACACATACGCATGTATATATTCCTACACACTTGCACACACATCTTCATTTATACACAAGCACACATACACACATGCCACACCCATAAACACAAGAGCTGACTTGTATACATGTGTGGCAGCACAAGTATTGCAGATATGTGCACACAACAGTGCCACTCATATGTAAGTATGCACCTTCACATGCACATGGCCACATGGAAACCCAAAAGGGTCCCAACATTGGTGCCTTCTTGGATCTCATCCATGAGGCCCAGCTGGGAAGCACCCTAGGGCTCCTTGTCCTGAGCCTGAGGCAGGGAAAGATTCATGCAGGGCATCCTGGCCAAAGAAAGGACTAAATACTACAGATAGGTCTAGGGTTAGGGATAGGACTAAGGTTAGGGTCAGGGCTAGAGTCAGAGGCAGGGATAGGATCAGGGCCAGAACTAGGGCTGTGACTAGTCCTAGGATTGGCCTAGAACAAGGATTGAGGCTAGGGCGGTTGGGATTACAGTTATGGGAAGGGTTAGGGCCGGTGCTAGGATTAGTCTTATAACTGGAGTTAGATTTCAGGCTAGGTATAGATCAAGGTGTAGGGTTAAATTTTGGTTAGACTTATGAGTAGGAATGGGCTTATATTAGGTTTAAGGTTATATGTATGGCTAGATGTAGGGATAGGGATCAGATTTGTTCAGGATTAAAGTTTGGGTAGGGTAGGCTTAAGTCCATGATTATACTGATCCCATCCCCGGGAGGTCTGTTGTGAGCATGTACCAGGGGTCCTACCAAATCAGCCTTGTTGGACTTGGTATGATCTGAGCCTTAGGGTAACCCTGTCCTTTGATCCTACCCAAACATGTCACTCAGCACTGTAGGGTCACATCTGGGTCGCCTGCTCCACTTCCCAAGGCTGACTGCTCTGTGGGGACACCCTCAGGCCCCCTGCACGTTCTTTGCATGTGGCTTGGCTTGACCACGTAGCTGCAGTGGGCAGGGGCTGGGTTGCAGGAGCCAGCAGTAGCAAGCGGCCACCAGTGCCTTTGCGCTCACTTTGGAAACTGTCAGTTCAGCAGTCTGGCTGAGGACCTGCTCCATGGTGGCCTTAAAACTGTCCACACTCATAAATCACCCGGGATTTAAACAAGCGCTGGTGGCAGGTAATTTTTCAGAACTCCCCCACACTCACACGCAGTCAGCGGCGTGGTTATGCAGGATCGTGGGTGGGGTGGGGGGAGAATGAACTGAGATGGGGTCGACAGTGTAACAATGCTGTCATCATCTCGGGGCTGCTTGTGGAGTTGGAGGTGAGGATGCTGGCAGTGGATGGTTAACCTGGCCATGCTGAGGCTCAGAGTGTCCTGCAGATGTCTTCCTGATCCTGGGGCTCCACTCGGCTGATTGCACTAACGCCCACCTCCTCCTGTGACAAAGACACAACCCACAGCACAGCTCTCTTCTGAGTCTGGACTCCCCCACCTTCCCAGACGTCCTTGTGGGCAGGCAACACTTGGCATGGGGAGGGGACGTGCTAATGGCGGGATTCAAACACCCAGGCAAGAGCCCAGAGCTTCCTCAAGGTATATTCTCTCCCTGCAAGTCACAGGTCATTGGCCCCACGTCCAGGAGGAAGTTAAAGGCTTCCCCTAGACATTTTTAAAGATCGCCATCTCCTTTAGTAGAAAGATGTGCTGCCCCACAATGCCTGTCTCTCCAAACAAACTCTCAGATCACAGCCCAGAGCCAGGTTCTGCGGGTGACGTCTGGAGATCCATGTGGGCTGGGATCAGGGCTCAGTTAGGGCTGGCACTAGGGCTCATGTAGACAAAAACAAGGATTCAAATATGAGGCTGAGATCTGAGTGCTATGAGGTGAGATCAAGAATCCATGTGTGCTGGGATCTAGGACCAGTTCTGGACTGAGCCAAAAGTCCCTGACACAGGCTCAGAGCGGTGATGTTCATGGTCACACAGACGATGACACAGAGGCTGGTGTCTTCTCCAGACCCCACTGCTCTTCCTCAGCTGGTCGGAGGAGGATCCAACCCAGTTACTTAGTTATGCAAGTGTAGGTCATCTTTGGTTCTGTATCTAAAACTGCAGAAGTGCCCGCCTGACCCCTGGGAAGTGATGGGAAAGGAGGGCCCAGTCTAACAAAGATGGACTAAGCAGGCCAACAAGCTTTCTCTGACACTGGGAACCATGGGTCGACAACCAGAACCCTGGCCACTAGGAGCCCACAGGGCCCAAAAGTGTCTGCAGCCCCCTGCTAGGAAGGCCCTGACTGGATACCATTCACTTTAGGTCCCAACCAGGTAAGGGCATTTGGATGAGGCCGGAGGGTTACTGGTACCCCAGAGCAGGGCCTAAGTCTCTGAGGAAGCACATAACACCAAACTACTCCCAACCCCACAAGGCTGTAACCCCCACCACCTAGTACATACCTGTGAGTTTGTAGGCTGCCTTCATCCAGGCACCCGTGTGGTTCCTTCCTGACCTGAAAGTCGTTTTTAGTGGTCCTGCCTCTGAGCAACACATTGCTCCTGCAGGGTTCCCTTTGGATATAAGGGCTCCTGGACTGTTGAATGGCCTAGAATAGCCACACCAACTATGGGACAATCTCCCAGAGCCAGCCCAGGTAAGGGTGCATCCTGACCTTCTCTGGCCAGTCCTCCTACGCCACCTGGTGGCCATATCCTCACGAGTCAGGCAGCACCAATGGATGCCTGTCCGTCCCCCTGGCTAGACAGGACCACCATCCTGACTGGCCTTGCAGACTTTTGCAGAGATCAGCATTTGGGGAAACTGAGGAACCCAGTCACCGGGCTGGCTTCTGGCGCAAAAGCGCCTTCGCTCTTGAGGAGTCCTGATTGTTACAGGAGCTCCATCCCCAGAGGGCAAATGGCAATAAACACAAATGCAAGACATCAGCCAGCCCAGGCAGAGCAGCTCCTGATTGCTAATCACATCCTCATTCCTGAAGCTCTTTAAAACCCTTCCTGAGCCACATTATTGTCTCCAAAGAGCTGTTATTACTCTTATAAAAAAAACTTATAAAAATTCTAATCAACATTGGTCTTAAACGGAAACATCTCGCATGCTGGCTGCTCCTCCTGTGCGGGTCTGGGGAAAATGAGAGGCCTTTACGAGACACCACTCGCCACCTCCCTTCAACCTCATTGCTTTTGCTGTCTATTGAAGTGTTAAGGATGGGACCTGGGGCTGTGGTGATTGACACTCCTATATTCAGGCAGCCAGGACCAGAGGCCCTTAAAAATTTGGGAGTCCTGATGCCAGTGCTTGCTGTGGTCCCAGCTCCCCCTGGCCAGGGCAGCTCTGCGTCACCCTGACTTCCTGCTTCAGCTGACTAACTCAAAAGGAGGACAGGAACACAGCTGAGAGGCCAGCCAGCGTGTGAGTGGACAAGCAGCTAAGGGCCCGGGCAATGAGGTGCCACGTGTACCTTCAGACTGTGTTCAGGC